ATGTTGGTGCACACCGAGTCCATGAAGTCGGCCGAATGCGACGTGAGCACGAGGATGTGGTTGTAGGTGGAGAGGTACGCCTCGAGCCACACGACGGCCTCGAGATCCAGATGGTTGGTGGGCTCGTCGAGCAGGAGCAGATGGGGCTTGATGAAGAGCGCCTTGGCGAGCGTGACGCGCATCCTCCAACCACCAGACATGTCCTTGGTGGGCTTCTTCATCATCTCGGGCGAGAATCCGAGACCGTGGAGGATCATACCGGCCTTGGTCTCAAAGGTGCTGGGGTCGAGCTCCTCGAGCTCCTCGTACTTGAGCTCGAGCGTGACCTCGTCGATCTCGTCGGCGACCGAGAGGTCCTCGATCTCCTTTTCGAGCTTAGCCACCTTCTCCTTGGCGGAGGCGACAATGTAGTCGACGGCGTTGACCTCCGAAGGCTCGGCCTCACCGGAGACGAGGTGGATGTCGATGTGCTCGGGGATCTCGACGTCGCGGCCGGCGAGTGCGGCGAGGAAGGTGGTCTTGCCGGAGCCGTTGTCGCCGAGGAGGCCGTAACGCTGGCCGTAGTTGAGGTTGATGGTGGCGGTGTCGATGAGCAGACGGCCGTGGAAGGACATGGTGAAGTTGTCGATGTGGATGTCGCGGCTCTGCTTGTCCGAGGTGAGGACACCCGAGGCGTTACGCTCGGTGGCGATGGCGAGCTTCTTCATGTTGAGCTCCTCGACCGAGGTGTTGGCCGAGACGTTGGTCATGGGCGTCTCCGAGGTGCCGTTGGTGGTGCCGGACTTGGAGGAGGACTTGGACGACTTTTCGCCCTTGGCAGCGGCCTTGGCGGCCTTTTCACTGTTGGCAGAGCAAGGAGCGAGAGCTAGGGTCAGTACTGCTATTCATGATCAGGACCAGCAAGGCGGCAGAGATGAAGACTTACGCCTGGCGCTTGGCCTTGGAAGCAGAGACGGGAGGCATGGTGGCGAAGCGAGACGACTAGGATGGAATGCAGACGATGCGAAGATGCCTAAAGGTAGTCGAGGGAGGATTCACGGAGGAGGCAACGACACAGTTGTGGCCTCGAAAAGATTCGTGGTGCTGAAACAGTCGACGTCGATGGGGCAAGCCTGCTTGTCCGTTCAAGGAAAAGGAGTGGCTTGTCAGGTCGTCGAGAAGGTGGGGGAGTGTGCAGTGGAAGACGAGATGTCGCAGCTGCAGGGGAAGACGGTGGGTGTGAAGGAGGAGGTGAGGGGCAGCCAGCGTCCAAATGGCGTTCTGCTGGTTGGCTCTCTTGCTTGCGGAAGAAGTGATGTGGAATCGCAGCTGCGCCTGCTGAGCAGTCAATCGAAAGGCGGGCTGAGCAGGCTGAGCAGGCTGGGCAGGCTGGGCAGGCTGGGCTGTTTGGCTGTGGTTCGAGCGTTGCGGAATGGCAGATCGATTTGTTCAAGTGCGAAATTTTTGACGTTGGTTGGCGGCTGAGCGAGTGCGACTTCTAGCGCACACGCAGCAGCAGCGCCTGCCCGACTTGGCTCGTGCTAGGCGCGCCGCTCTCTGAGAAAATTTTCGAAATGTGGGTCGTGTTTCTTCGCTTCCAAAAAAAAAATCAAAAAAAGTCCTTGCCGATGCCACCCCCGAACCAGTCGCCACTGCGTGCAAGTCGGCCCGATCAGGCGCTTGGCCGCCACATGACGCACGTCTGCAGAGGTGGCTGGCCATCCAACTATCGACAGACATCGTTGTTTCGGTCTAACATTTAAAATAAGAAATTCCCGATGCAGGCCCTGCTGACCGGCTCCGAGGCGCGCCGACTCGAGTTGGCACTTTTATCTGTCCATGGGCCCCTTCTTCTTGCTGCTGCCGACACCACCATCTCTCGACAGTGACTCCACCCGACAAACACGCCGCAGCTGACTTGCCTGCTAAGCATATCGATCTGCCACATTGGGCCCGCAACTCCGCGCTCGCAAACCAACCCGACCGCAGATCCCCCCGAGCTTCTAACGCGACACCATGTTCAAGCCAACACAGGTCGCCTGCTCCAAGGCGAGCCGACTTCCGCTCAACTCCAAGAAGGCGAATCGGGACTTTTACAAGGGCACGCGCACGGGCAACATCATGCGTCGCAAGCGCATTGCTACTGCCGATCCGCAGGGCAACCAGCTGTACGACAAGAACGGCAACGAGCGATACTGGCACCTCAAGACCAAGCGCATCGACGAAGCTCGTCTGCCCAACTACGTAGTACCCCCCGGCCTTGCACAGACAAAGGTATGCACCACAACCCTCGCCGTGGTTCTGTAAAGTATAACACAGACGCTGACTATTCCTTTTTTGGCGAGCGTACAGTTGCGACCCTACGTGTTCGCAGGACCAGCTAGCGAAGGCGGTGTTTCGAGGAAGGGCAAATTTGGTCTACCCGAGTACCAAAGGATGGGAGCAGAGGGTTTCGATGGCACCTACTACCGTTCCGTCATCGGCGACATGCTCACGAAGCGAAGGATCAAGGAACAGCAGGAGGAAGATAGGAGGCTCGTCCAAAACAACCGCGACTAGTCTGTCTTGCTCGCATCCCCCTTGCTCGCCATCCCTTGACCCAACCGGCCATGCAACCTCTTCAACGCTCCGACCAACCCTAACACCCCGCCGCTCTCTTCATGTACTTGTATCCGAATCATATCAGCATTCACCCAGTTGCACCTTTTGTTTGTCCCAAGACCCGCTTCATCGCCGTATCGCCGTGCCGCTTCACACAGCCATTCCACCTCATTCTCCCGGCCATTACCGCTAGCTGCGAGCAAGCCTTCCCTTCACTCCGCGTCCTGCTCTTTGCCTAGATTTCTCAAAGGATGCCGGTAAAAAAGTCTAGTAAATAGGACAAAAGAAAAAATGGTGACAAGAGTGGGATTCGAACCCAC